ATCTATCCTTCATAGAGTCCAAGATTCCTGACGCCTGGCGTACAGTAAGAATTACTCCAATCCCTAAAAAATCTTTAACTTTTGCTCCTAAATCTTTCCGTCCTATTGCCTGCTCTTCTGCACTCCTGAAACTTACTGAACGAGTTGCATTAGATTCCCTTAAGTCCTCCTCCGTCAATTTTTCTGATTCTCTACAATTTGCATACAAGGCAAAGCGTAGCACCTTGGATGCTGTTGCTTTAGTTGTTCATTCAGCTTTGAGAGACTTAGACAAGGGATGCCGTGCATATGCATGTGCTTTTCTCGACTACTCATCCGCCTTCAACACTATCCCGCGCCAACTCCTCCTGACCAAAGCAGCTGCGTGCGACACTCCGAGCTGGGTTGTCTCTTGGCTTAGAGATTATTTTTCCTCCCGCACTCAGTTTGTCCAGTCGGGAAAGAGAAAATCTTCTATTCTTCCAAATAATTGTGGAGTTCTACAAGGTTCCATCTTATCCCCTCATCTTTTCTCCCTACATACTGATGATTTGAGATCGCCAAACGACTGCCTGTATGTTAAGTATGCCGATGACATGGTCGTAGGCCACCCACTCAAAAACCGGACTCACCTACAGTCTTTAAAGGATGGCTTGGATCACGTCTCCGCATGGTCTTCGAATAATGGACTCCTACTCAACAATCAGAAATCAGTGCAGTGTGTGTTTCGATTGCGACCCTCTCCCATTCCTGAACCTTTGGATATTCTTCCCAATGAGGTATCTTCTTTCCGGTACCTAGATGTTACTTTATCCTCAAATCTCTCTTTCTCTCTTCATATGGAAACCCTTTTAACAAAAATTCAAAAACTTGTTTATTACATTCGTCGTCTACGTTCATATCACACACCCCAGTCCTTAATCTGGCGATTCATAGATGGCTGTATTCTTCCACTCATTCTTTATTGTTCTCCAGTTATTTTTCCAGCTTTACTTAAAAAAGATCTTATTATTTTTAAACGTGTCATTCGAATGCTCGCCTCTGCTGCTGGTGTTTCCTATCATCTTTTAGTTGATATCATCGTGCAGCGACACTTCAACTCGGTGGAGCAATTCGCTGACCGAATTCTGAATGACACCGTCCATCCCCTTCATAATGAGTTAATGGCTGCGAAATCCTTACGCCCCATGCGTCGATGCTTCCGCCACATCCCTTGCCGCACTTCGGCCTATCGGAATTCCATACTGCCATTTCTAGCCCGGTATCTCACCTGCAAAGATGTTGAAAAACAAGAACTAAAATTCGATCTTGCACCTTAAAGTCCTTTTTTCTCCGTATATAATCATGTCCTCCTGTCCAAAACCTGTCAACCTCTATGGTAATCACTGTGTACTGGAGAACCGTTTTTGCTGAAAGTTTTGAAAGTTATTTTCAAAATTAAGCAGTCCTCTCTCTCTCTCTCAAGGCTGATCATAAGAGCATGGGACTCTTAAAGCCTCGATATCTTAACGGTGTATCGTCCCCGAGCAATGACCATAAAACTGATGCTAAAACTGATGGATGAGCTCAGACTATTTTCTACGTAGCTGACTACCTTCATCGTTTGCGACTTTAATGCGCCGTCGACTGCTGTGAAACAGCAGTCGGCCGGTAGTTTCTGCCTACCACTAGGAATCCGCTTCTCACCTAACAAGTAATGGTTTCGAAGAGAGTGCGTGAGGGCCAGTCATGCTTTAATTAAAGCGCCTACCAATACCAACATTGCGAATTACCTCCCTTATTAGGTCATAGTGATCATGCATTTCTCATGTGGAGATACGCCTTATTCTCCTTGGCTGCATAATCGAGTGATTCCTGACCCAATATTTGGCTAAGCGGCTTTTGGCGGTCAAGGATGTGAGATCAACTTAAAACACGCACAATAAGTTCGTTTCGTCTAATGACAGAAGTCAGGGAGCAGAGGACTAGTTTATTCTGTACACAGGGCAGGTTGCCGTAAGTTGGCTTGCAACAGAGAAAAGCGTCCGTTCACGGAGAGCGTCAGTCGCGGTGTGTGTTTACGCGGGCGTGAGTGTCTGGGTCAGCAGGAAGGGGGGAATGACTGTCTGAGTGGTGGTCGTGTGATTGGACAAATTAGGGGAGGAATGGAGGGCGCATACTCACAAGGCCTCACGGGCATCAAGCCAAAGCGTTCGACGCGCGTGAGGTGATACTATTTTGTGAGGGCAGCCGGGGCTCACTGCAGCTGGACAGGAGGTGCCCCAGTTCTAGCCGGCGGGGGTGGTCGTGTCTCAGCGGCCTGTCAATGTTTGTCGCGGCCATCGGCCGACAAAACGGAGCCAGAGTAAAGGGGGGCTGGAGCGGCTGCTACAACCCCCCCCCCCCAGACACCAAACGAAGTGAAGGCGTCGACATGCTAGCCAGCCACAAACCTGTCGGCCAGTGGACGTGACGACCAGATCGTGTGCGGCGAACTGGAGGGGGACTGTCGCCAGTAGGTGGAGGCATCACTGTTTGTGGCGGGGTACAGTGTTGGGGTAAGGAATGGTCACTGTCGTCGATGTAGGCCGGTTTGACGCGATCAATGCTGACTGTGTCGGTCTTGCCGTTGCGGTCGATGACAACATCTTTGTCAGATCGACGAAGGACTTTATACGGCCCGTCATAGGGTGGTTGGAGTGGTCGTCGGACAGCGTCATGCCGAACCAAGACGAAATCGCACTTATCTAGGTCGGGAGGGAAGAAGGAATTGGCCGGTGACGCCCGAGGGGGCGTTGCGCGGAGATTGCGCATGACACTGCGCAGCTGCTCCACATAACTGCAAGGTTCGAAAAATGTTAGCACGTTTGAGGGAGACACTAACTCACCGGGCAGTCGTAGGGAGGTTCCGTAGACAAGATCAGCTGCAGTGCAACCGATGTCGGCCTTGAGAGTGGAACGGAGGGACAACAGCACCAGGGGAAGGTGATCAGACCATCGGGAAGGATCGGGCTGTGCAATAAGGGAAGTCTTGAGCTGTCGATGGAAGCGTTCGACGAGACCATTTGCTTGAGGGTGGTACGTTATTGTTCGGATTCGGTTGGTACCGAGAGGGGATGTGAGTTCGCGAAACAGCGTGGACTCGAATTGGGATCCGCGGTCAGTGGTGACAGTCGCAGGAACTCCAAAATTGGACACCCAGTGAGTCAGGAAAGCTTTTGCAACGGTTTCGGCACTGATGTCCGGAATGGGCGCAGCAACCGGCCACCGAGTAAAACGATCAATGCATGTCAGCATATAGGTAGAACCGTTAGATGGTGGAAGCGGACCTACCAGGTCAATGTGCACATGGGTGAAGCGTGCATCAGGAGCGGCGAAAGTTCCTGGCGTAGTAATAGTATGCCGATGCGTTTTGGCTCGCTGACATGATAGACAGGATCGGGTTCAACGCCGTACAGACCGGTTGATGTTGGGCCAGACGAATCAGTGGCGAATTGCCGAACACGCGCAGCGGTACGGAGAAATGACGCCAACTCTCAAGTCGCGGCCCATTCGACGAGACCCGGCCACACATTCAAGTTCGATGAGGCCGAAATACTCGCGAGAGGGGATAATCGCGTGCGCCGCGAGTTGCTTGAGTCATGGTTCACGGGATCTCAGTCTATCAACAAGTGCAACGACATTCCCACTCCATATTCCGTGCTGAGGCATGTGCTGGCCAAGATAATTGATCACTCGGGAAGCGCGCAAGCCGGTGAGCCAGATGACCGAGCAATCATCCCGCCAGCATCTAATACGGGTGATGACATTTCGGCGATTAACAATCATGCCGGCCATCAAGCAATTATCGCATCAGCGGGCATCCATCCTTGACGAAGGGGAGCACGGTTAATTGCTATAGGTATGCGCTAGCATAGCGACTGCATCCTATAAATAGTATACCTTCCTGTGCATGAGTCACCCTTTTCTGCTACTGTCTCTAAAGATGGATTCAAGTGAGAATTCGAAACGTCAGGCGAATAGAGACCTTGTTCCAGCGATCGCTTCTTCTTCTAATACCATTCTCTGTTTATAAAAAGAACGTTTCTTCCGTTTTATTAATTTGCACTTTTCGTTCGTCACGAATTACTTTGAGTTTCAGATCGGCCTTGAAATATCGATGAATATTTTGTGATTTTCAGTGTTTTCATCCGATGGTCCATTAGGACAGATTCTGTGTTATGGTTCTGCTAGAAACTTTAAAAATATTACTTATTTGAGGTATTGAGCATAAAAGCGATTGTTAGGGTTTTCTTTATCATTCTGAACACCAGTTGGGTCACATTTGAAGACTCAAGCAAACAGGAACCCCCATCGTCTAATAAAACTGACGTCCACATCAAACGTCAGCAGCGAATATGCCTTAGATCAATTAGAAAACTCTCTTTAATAAATTTCCTCATAAGGTGTGCTCTGATACTGCACTCCTTCGACGGATGTCTGAGTACTTTAATTTTTTACAGAGTGAGACCAAGAAAAATTCGAGATTTTCGGCCGTTTTTTTACTTTGCTAAAAGATACTGATATCTGTCGACCGCAAACGTACGAACATGTTTTTTCTTTATATTGGGGCTATTTTAATTGTTTTTACACAACGTTAGACTCCATTCTACGATTATGAATGCATGGCAGAGTGGCTATATATCCACCGACAATTTGCCAAAGACTTTAACGTTTTGCTCGTTCCATTTCTGAATTAGGTATGTGCGGAGGCTGGACTGCACAAATTGTATTATTTAATATGTTTAAAACTGAAAATGACAGTTCGGTGGTGGTCGTTCCTGTGGCAACATGTAGGACTTTCCAAACGACAAAACAATTTTAGCTCATTTAATTGAAGGATTGCCTGTGTGCGGTATTACTGCACTTTAGGGCGCAAAATCGTTCCGGTCTGCCAAAATTGAATTCTAAAAATCGACAAAACATCTGGTTCTCTTAAAGTAACCTTTTTCTTAGGAAGCTGATTACCATTATTACCATCGGACAAAAAGTTAATTTTGAAGTCTGTCAACCTCTGTTTATTAAAACTCTCTGGAGTAAATTACTCTCCTTTCAAGGAAAAACCCGCTTAGATGGATAACAGAAGTCCAGAACAGGTATTGGCATAGGAAATTGCCCGAGTATGCCGCGATGTCCATTTTCGATTATGAACATTTTGCCTGAAATAAGTACGTGGACATAATTTTTGTACAAGTTGAGGACATTTCCTATAGGAGACTGAGCGGGCAAGCCAAATGCGCAACGTTAAATACGTACTAAATTCTCGCATCAGATTCTGTCGCCAGGTTTCATGAGCTAGGTCACGTACTGCATGACGTCGGAATCCAGGACGATTCCCGATAACTGACTTTATTTTTTCCGATTTTCATTTTGTGAGATTCGGCTGACTAATGCAAACGGGTTTGCGTCTGCTATTGCCGATAATTATATCACGCAAATGAAGGTGTACATAAGGTCAGGTGCTTACAGGTCAGTCAGTTAGTAATAAATTTAAATATAATTGTCGAGTAATATTTTACAAATATTGTATAGAGCACGATGAATTTTAGATCGTCCTTGAACTAATCGTGATTACTTCGCGATTTCCGGTGTTTTAAGTCGATCGTCCATAAATAAAGCTTCTGTTGTACTTTTCATCGAAGCCTTCATAGTAAGATACCCATTGACAGCACTTGCTGAAATAGTGAAATTTCAAAATCATTTCCAATACGGATAGCCGTGTAGGCCATATTTTTAAGCTCACTCAACCACCGAACATCATCGATGAAATCAACAGTTAAGGAAAAATGATGATTTCTCGTTGACTACTGTGTCCCAGTGAAGGCACTGTTTAATTTTTAATGCATGAATGAATGACAATATGCCTGAATTTGAAAGCACGGCTGTACAGACCAAAAGCTTTTAAGCGTGGGCTGTTTCAAGGAAACTTGTAGGAGGACTTCACTTATGTTCTGCCTCTGACGCTACTTCCAGTAGATTTATATTTGTGTAAATTTTAACACGCCTTGAAGGCCCCCAATGCCTACGGTGTTCTCATTTATTTGAAAATATGTCGGCATGATTGAATAAAATCTGTACTATAAAAAGTCACAAGTAGCCACAAGCACAAATCCTTCAATCATTCGTTCAAATATGCACCTGGAGCATTGCTATTTTATTGGTATTTTCCGCCATAGATCTCTGAAAAATCTCCTTAGGCAAGCTGATTTTGGAACTAACTGAGGTGAGGATGATTCACGAATCCAACGCCAGGTATTCCTGTATTGAACGTGGACCACAACCGGATCACAATTTATTCCCTCCTCTCACCTGAGTTGGAGTTGGTCTATAGTGGATTTTTCATTTTATATTGATTTTATCCCTGGAAGTTCAAATCTTTGTATGTTTCTAATTTGATACCTCTGTTATACAACAACAGACTGCGGTTGATAGGCAGTCGCATAATTTATTGGCTCCAATAAATTCTGCTGTCTATGCTTGCTTCAAATCGTCAGGTATGTTGTCATTATTTCATTAATCGCGGGCCGCAACTGGAGCCCCATTTATTCCCTTCTGTCATCTAAGCAAAACTTCGTTTTCAGTGGCTTTTTTCATATTTTCCACAATTACTTTGGAAAAAAGGAAGAGTAAAAAGTCGCTGGTGTGTGACTAGGCATTTGATCCGAGCGGCGTCCAAACGAAAGTGGCGTGTTGGCAAGAGATGCCGCTCAGAGTTTCATCGGTGCTGTCACAGCTTTACTCGGGAGGAGATAGTCAAAACTGTAAAAGCTGCTTTCTTAATCAAAGTCTGGGTATGACTGGTAAGCAGTCTCTCTGGTTGGAGATATTATTGTCTTTAATTTGGTGAACATGCCAGGAAAAAGTCCAGTGTCACCGGTACACAATTCACACATGCAGCACGACTCCGCGAGGAACAGAATATATGAGAAGACGCAGACTGAAAGGAAAAACATCTGGAACACGTGAGATTGTTTTTGGATGTAGATAACACCAAGTCGGATCAGGAGGTCGATTGGAACTTTTAAATGATGGTTGTTTTGACACCAGTAGGCGGAAGATAATTGACATAAACCTGATGCTTCACTTGCGTGGAGGTGTATACATGATAACTCTGCAGGAAGCAGAGAAGCACCGTCTCTGTAAAATTATTTTGGAGCAGTTTAGTCAGGCTCCAAAATAAGAGAGAGTAAGGTGGACGTTGGGTAACCCATAACCATACAATATCAACGCAGTCATCACCCTCATAAACCTGGCGTTCTTGGATTTATAACGGCGCTCTAAAGCTCGTGGCTTGGAAGACTACCAACTAACGGAGATCTTGGTTCTCTCTCTACTGCGAGCCATGTTTCAGCGGTTGCTTTTTAAATGTGGTCTCTACGGCACTTCCACTTAGAGTTCATTTGAGCCGTCATTTTTTTTGCAAAAAGCTGGTTCTTCGTGTGTTGATCAGGAGTGTGTGGCAGGCGTTGACGGGCTGGGCCACCCCTCTCCCATTCGTCCTGACTCCGTCTTACCACGGGGTTCAGATGGTTGAGGAAGGGGAGAGTTCACCAAATGCTGTGCAGGTCTACGAACGCTATAAGCTAATACGTGCGCAAGTCACCGCCCCGCGCCGACACACTGTGGACACATTGATAACAACGTCGTCTGGAATGATCGAACTTCAGTGATAGGGCTGAAAGTTAAAAGCAAGGTGGCCTCTTTGTCGCAGAATTTCAAAATCGGCAAGTCCGATTACTAGTTTAAGCGTGTTCGAGACCCAGATTTTCTAGAGCATGAGATTACACTTTTCGCCGTACCTCTTTTTACTAGGTCTTGTGAATAGACTCGTTGTACCGCTAAAACCCGGAGACACGCATTAGTGGTGAGAATCCGATGGAAGCGAAAAGGCGAGCCCCAGTCAGCAGTCGTAAATAAGTAGACACGATCGCTGGGACAAGAGTTTTATTCGTCTGACGCTTCGGATTCCTGCTTGAACCCATCATCAGAGACGGCAAATATAAAACCATTGTGTTAAACGACACGACGGAAGCGAACATGCCGCTGAACGTGGAATTCTTGTCCTCAGGCCCCCTAAACCTCGCAGTGACATTTAGTAGAAGACAGTGGCAGTTCATCAACCACCACCAAGTGGTGATTGCAACGATAGGATTGTAAATATTAACTGAACTTGTCTCATATTTGTATACAAATTGGCGGGCCCGGCTGAACCATTTCAGGAACAGTCAAGATCGGCGATGAGCTTGCTAACCCAATAT